TCTGGACTGCATCCCTTTTCCGTAAAAGGGATGCAAAATAGACACATCGCAATTGCTAATGAAGCGGGGATTTAAATCTCCCCCTTCATTTGCATAAACATGGCTGCCGCTTTTTTCCGGCTCGGAGCTTTGCCTGAAAAAAGCGCCTGTCTAGACGGGGATCTTTTGGAAAATAAAGCCTTTTCCGAAAGATCCCTTATTCCTTTTTTTAAGAGGAAATTGGAGAAGGTCCAGAGAAGAGCAACAAGAAAGATTAAAGTTCTAGAGAAAATGACCTATGAAGGAAGATTAAAAGAATTGGGCTTGTTTAGTTTGGAAAAGAGAAGATTGAGAGGGGACATGATGATGGTTTTCAGGTATCTAAAATGGTGTCACAAGGAAGAGAGAGAAAAATTGTTCTTTCTGGCCTCTGGGGAACGAACAAGAAGCAATGGGCTTAAAACGCAGCAAGGGAGGTTTAGGTTGGACATTAGGAAAAAGTTCCTAACTGTCAGGGTAGTTAAACACTGGAATAAATTGCCCAAGGTGGTTGTGGAATCTCCATCTCTGAAGATATTTAAGAGTAGGTTAGATAAATGTCTATCAGAGATGGTCAAGACAGTAATGGGTCCTGCTAGAAGGGCAGGGGACTGGACTCGATGACCTCTTGAGGTCCCTTCTAGTCCTAGTATTCTATGATTCTATGAATATCTTCTGATAGTTTTTGTGCCAGAGGTTTTTGCGCAAAAACAAGCAGTGTGGACTTGTCCGTTTTGTGCAAAAACCTCACACTGATCATTTTTGTGCAAAAAGGATCAGAAGAGATTATGCAAATGAAGTGTGAGAAAATGCTAACAAGCACTTCATTTTTAGTGCCTCTTCTGCAAAAAAAACATAGTGTAGACATAGCCTCGGTCACATTGTGCCTATGAGGTTTTCCTAATCTTATTTTTCATATTTAGTTTAATACATTATTGCTTGTCTGATCCATCCTATTGCTTTTGAATTCAGTGATAAAACTCCTACTTACGTAAATTAGAGAGCCCATTTTAAGCTAAGTGCTGTTGCTTAGTTGGTATGGACTAGACTGGATTTAGGAAACCTGGGTTTAATTCCTGGCTTTGCCACTGCTTTATGTGTCTGTAGGCAAGTCATGTACCTCCTTGTGTCTCCATCTGTAAAACAGGGACAGTGATACTAACCTCTTATGCAGAGCACCTTGAAATATATGGATGAAAAGCACTAGATAAAAGCTATGTATTCTTGTTAAATAGAAAGGAGATCATACTGAAAACTGTACTCAATAAATTAAACAGAACTGGCCTTGTGGCCAAGTTATCATTAATAGAGCTATATTATACAGTACATTGTGTACATTCTGGATTTATTTCAGGAGTAAGGGTATGTTTACACTTGCACTCTAGTTTGAACTAGGGATGCAAATGCAGGCATTCAAAATAGTCAGTGAAGAGGGGATTTAAATATCCTGCACTTCATTAGCATGATCTCGCACCGCGGTGTGTTACTCTGAATGCCAGCTGTTTCAAAAGTGAAAGTGCATGCCGGAACGCGTTAGTTCGAACCAAACCCCTTGTTTTGAACTAATGTTACTCCTCAAAAAAATAAGTAACACGCCGACAAGATCATGCTAATGAAGCGTGTGATATTTAAATCTCCGCTTCATTGACTATTTCGAATGCCTGCATTTGCATCCCTAGTTCAAACTAGGCTGCAAGTGTAAACATGCCCTCCTAAGCAATGATGGTATTGTAGTGCTCTGGGATTTTTGCTTTGCTGAAGGATACAAAGGAGCTATGCAATACACAAGGAAATGAGTGAAGAGATGACTAAGCGCAGAAAGGGTCAGCATACTATCTGGCAGTACTCCAGATCTGGCAA